AAACGCACGGCGATTTGGATAAAAACATTACTAGTCATCCTAACTTTAATAATTTTTAGTTTATCTAATTTTCTACAAATAGCTAGGTCATGTTTTATATCCCTTTCGAAGAAGGACGTTTGCTTTGCTGATGTCTGTCGATCCACCCACAATCGTGATGTTTCCATGCATTTTCTTTGCAGAGGTTGCACATACTGAAATGAAATATTGTATACAGATTTATCATAAGAATATCTAGGTCAAGTTTTTTTTGGGTACGATGAGCCATCTTGGATAGAATTATATCCCTTATACTTGAAAAAAATCGAATTATTTTGGGGAGTAGGGCATGTTTTACAAACATCTATTCGTTACATTATAAACGTGCAACGTACAATGTATTTCATGTTCTTATAATATTTTAGTCACTGATTTCTTTTTTTTTGCATTCATTGTCACTGATAATTACTGTGGCCACTTTTTTAAGCTGGGAAGGAGCTAAAACAGAATTAAGGGAATGATCTCGTAAACTACACATCCGACTACGGTGAAATGTGTTGTGAAGTGTTAACTTTTTCAATCTTTGATGAATTGCTTTGAAACTCATAATATAAGGATATATTAGTAGCATAGACAAGATGACATGGTCAAAATAGCAAGATCTCACGCGCTTGCACGTGCGCTTTGCTCTGATTGGCTGAAACTAAAGTCTCTATATCTTTCTTGTTTTTTGATAAAATTCTTTGAAATTTTAAACATAATAATACATTACGGAGATCTACACCCTGATATATATGAATTATCGTGAAAGCATTTGCATGCACGTGTGCTTGCAAGAGTGCGCACGTGCAACCTGAGAAATGTCCAATATAATTGATATAGACGTAACTATTTCATTTCTTTATGAAATGCTTTGAAACTCATAATATAAGGATATATTAGAAGCTTAAACGAGAGGACATGGTCAAAATGGTAAGATCTCACGCGCATGCACGTGCGCTTTGATCTGATTGGCTGAAACTAAAGTCTCAATATCTTTCTTGTTTTCGACAAAACCCTTTGAAATTTTGAACATGGTTATAAATTATAAAGATCTACAGCATGATATATAAGAATTATCATGAAAAGCATGCGCAAGCACGTAAGCTGCAATCTGATTGGCTGAAACTTTCAATGTCTATAACTTTCTTAGTTTTCAACGAAACGGGATAAAAATTAGAATATGAATAGCTATAATGGATTCCTTCATGATTGTACTATCAAAATGAATGCACGAACATGCATGCATGTGCGTATGTGAAAGACGAAAAATGACCAATTTATCTAAAAAACGTTAACATTATATTTTTATGATGTTTTATTGATTCTCACGATATAAAGTTATGTTAATGGTTTAGACAACATGCCATAATCATCTTGCTTGTGCATACACGTGCGTGCGCCTACAATGCGTTAAATGACATATAGTTGATAGCATTGTAGCCTTTCTAATTCTTTGATGAAATCCTTCGAAACTGATTATTATTTTTAAAATGTCTTACAGGAATTAGGCACAAAAACGATTTGGGGATTGTTTGGGGGAACATCTGTAACAGTCCCCGTTACAATTAGCACTAGTTTCGTTTAGTATCATTGCATGCAGGAGAATATTTATTTGATGTGCACCAAAAGTGACTGATTCTGTCAGGAAAATGGAAATCTAGGCGAAAATTCTATGTCCTGTCCTGTCGCACGACTGCTATTTTGTGCGTTTTCAAAGACTTGATACATCACCGGTGAGTTTATTAATTCTAGACAACTTTTTTCTTTCTCCGAGACGATTGGGGGGATGAAAAAATTGTGTAATTTATGTATCTTGCGAAAAAATTACAAATAACTACCGTTTGACAGATTTTTAAACGTAAAAACGAAAATCGGCAATTACGGATAATCGGCAATGATAATGGGTACTCGCACGTTACACAATCAATTCTTCTAGTCTGCATCCAAAGAACAAACGCAATAGTAAGAAACTGCCACATTGGTATCACCATTGCTTGTTTCTCAGCCAGTTCACATAAATGAAATTGAAACCCCCCCTCTGTTAGCATTTAAAAATATTTTTATCTAGGCCAACAAAAATTATTCAAAAATTAGAGATAATCAAAAATAAGAGCTATCAAAACGCCAAACATCATTCCCCAGTCCGCTTGTCGCCTCAATCTCCAGTTGATGAAATGTCATTGCATCGATTAACTGGGTCAATTTAACTTGATTGCTATTTAGAAACGTGGCTAAAATTACAAAAAAAATCATTGTGACAAATTCCCACAGAGGCTAGCAAGAAAAATGAAAGACAATATAAAATATGCATTTTTATAAAGATTTTTTCTCAATTTAAATATTTTGTCCAAGTATTTTTTATCAAGTGATACTTTCTATCTGTTAATCAATGAAAAATTTTTGAACTGTAAAAGTTTTAACTTTATAGCTAACACAGTTTTGGAGTTATTGTAAAAATAAATTTTTTGGACATGTTGACCTTTGACGAAACCTTTAAGTCCGTTGAGAATGTCTTCTTTAATCAACCATATGTATAGCCATACATGTATTGCAATGTATCACATTTACATGTTAAATTGTATCCCATGAGCAAGAATCTCTGGGATGCCACATCCAATTTTAGAAAATTTGACCAAAATAAGTTCTAGCAAGTCAAACTCTGAGACTAACATGGACATTTTGTCGACATTTCATACCGATAATTATATGTAGTCCCTTATGGGTATTAACACATTTTTAAAAGTCTTCTGTAATAATACTGTATTGCTCTTTAGGTCACCAGAAGCACTCAGGTGACCTGTTGCTATCTGTTTTCGTTCGTCGTCATGCGTTGTGTCTTAACATTTGAACACTTTTAGCTTCCTTTCTGAAATAACCAAATGCAACCAAATTTGGCATGTAGCATGTGTAAGTGAAAGGGGGCAAAAATTGTGACTTCAATGGTTAAATCCTCTTGGGCATGAGGGGTGGGGCTAAAACCCCAAAATAAATGCGATTTTTAAAACTCTGCTCAAGAGTCGCGAAGTGAGGAGATGATCCTTACGTCGCGGGTTCGAATCCCACTGTGGAACCGGTCCTTCGGATTCTACCTGATAAATCGAAGTCCCATGGCGCAGTAGGTGATGGGAAGATAAGATCCCTCTCTACTCAATGGCCTAGAGTGCCGAGAATAGTACAAAATTTGCAGATTTCTAACGGAAAGTGGTGGCGTCCCCATTAGCGTTGAAAATACTTCAGAGGGACGCTTAACAATACACAATCAATCTTTACTCATGTATATCATGCAGTCGAACTCTTGGCATGGTTGGAGAAAGCACTGTGAACTCAACTAAACTTGTAAAAATGCATTATTTCTTTAAAGATCTTCTTCTCTGCTCCTGGGTATTAAATAAATTAATTAAGTACATAGTTATGATGAGAAAGAATGCCTCTTCCCAATTGTGAATTTCTTGGCCCCAGGGTCAGGGGTTTTGGTGTTAGGGCGGGGCTCTATTGGTTATATAGTGAAAATGCATTGAATCTCTGAAATTCTTCTTCTCTGCTCTGGGGTATTAAATAACTAACTAAGTACATAGTTATAATGAGCAAGAGTGCCTCTTTCAAATTTTTGAATTTCATGATCCCAGGGTTAGGGGTTTTGGTGTTAGGGCAGGGCTCTATTGGTTATATAGTGAAAATGCATTGAATCTCTGAAAATCTTCTTCATTGCTCTGGGGTATTAAATAAAGTAACTAAGTACGTAGTTATGATGAGCAAGAGTGCCTCTTCCATATTTGTGAATTTCTTGGCCCAGGGTCAGGGATTCTAGTGCTAGGGCGGGGCTATATAGATTATATAGTGAAAAGGCATTATTTTTTTGAAAATTTTCTCCTCTGATCCTGGGTATTATATAAACTAACTAAGTACATAGTTATAATAAGCAAGAGTGCCTCTTCCAAATATGTGAATTTCATGGCCCCTGTGTCAGGGGTTTTACTCTTTGGTGTAAAGGGACTGGGGGCTCTTTTAATTATAAAGTAAAAAATGCATTAATTCTTTGAAAATCTTTTGCTCCTGGGTATTATGTCAATGATCTAAGTATACATATATATATTTATGATGAGGAAAGGTGCATCTAGCAAAATGGTTAATTTCATGTCCCCTGAGTCAGGGGTATCGGGGGGGGGGGTGTATAGTCTGAAAATAAATTAATGCTTTGAAATCTGCTCATTAGTATTAATCAACCATATTTGATGAAATAACATTTATGATAAAATTTTCAAAATTTTGAAATATGTGGCCCCAGGGTCAGTGGTTCCTGTGGGATGGGGTGGAGTGCACAACTGGTTTAGAATGAAAGTGCATTTTCTCTTAGTTACTCTGATCTTCTTATGGGTGTTAAGTGACTATCCAGTAAGCATTCCTAAGTGTATAATTATGAGAAGCATTGGTGCCTCTTTCAAAATTGTGAATTTCATTGCCTCTGGTTTAAAATACAAACCAAATTCAATTGTTGGAAAGTTGTTAAACGATACTCAGGTGACCTACAAGGCCCGTGGGCCTCTTGTTTATCCACTTCCCAACCCTTTATAGTCGTCCCTAGGGAGGCGATAAACTCGCTTGATTGGAATTTTTCTGCAACCCAAAAGACAATTTAAATAAAGAAAGTTTATTGTCTGTAGAGACGACTATAAAGGATTGAGAGGTGAATTAAATACGCAGTTTGGTCAAATGTGTCTAGAATTAGGGAGTGACAGGTAGTTTATTGACCAAATCTGGAAAGGGGAGGAATTCTCTCTAAAAGTGCGCAAAAATCTTGCGCCGTAAATTGCACATTGTTTGCATTACGTGATCTGTAGCGTTATGGTCAAAGACTAATAAATAAAACCACAACGCTACAGTTCTGCAGCTAACTTGAACATTACTTGTAAAAGCCAATAAAAATTTGTTGTTTCATAATCCAAATATAAATAAAGATTTAGAACCAATTTCAATAAAAATAACTGATAAAACATATTTATTTAATTTAAAAATAAAAGTTTAGAAGATAATTTGTAAAAATTCTGCACGGTGATAGCTTCTCCTCGAAAACTTGTATTAGATGACAAAACAAACAGCAAACCCTTAAGTCTAACGCCTTGTTTATAACAAGTATGAATGATATCAAACAGCAAAATTGAAATAAATTTTACAGCTTTAAACAGCAAATAAATTTAAGTTTACCACATCCAAAAAAAATCAAACTCGCAGTTCGCTTAATTGTTTGGTCGAATTAGTATGTTAATTTGTTTAAATTACCCAATAAATTGTCTAGATAATGAAACTGAATTTATTATTGTTAACATAGTCTGAATTTTCAAACACGAATCCTCTTCAGATGTATTTCACAATTTATCTTGAACTGGATATTTCACTCCAAGTTCGATATTTATTTGTAAGATTAATGGTTACATAAGCCGGAATAACCAAGTAAGAAAATGAGACATAGGCGAAATATTCGTGTAGAAGATGATTGTGGAGAAGTGGACAGAGTTAATGTCAACGCCGTCATTAGCCAGTTTGCCCGTCTTCATAACGATATTTGCTGTAGTTTCTGGTAAACGATATACTCCATCTGACACTTGAGCATATTTTGCACTGTTCCAATCAGTCAGATTAACTGGGAAGTAAAGATACATTTCATTGTTCGCCATATTTCCGCACTCTTTCGCAATAGCAGAATAGTTAGTTGTTTGTTCATCGCTGGACCTCTTGACTTCAAACTTGCAGCTCGAAAAAGGAAAATTGGTCTGCATAGATTTATTTGTCTCGGGGAGGTTAAACTCTGCAGTCAAAGATTCAAATGTTGACGCAGAATGAAGTCGTATTCCACAAAAACTGAGAACATCAATGGAGGCCTGAAAAACTGCTTCGTATTCTGAAGTGTCTTTGTCAATGTCCTTCCCTGAAATCGAAACACGCACATTTCACATTAATTAATAGAATACAGTAGTATAAAATTTAAGGGGGAAAAACCTACAAAAAATTATACAGGGAGATTTTCGCTTCTTTCGACCTTCTAAAAGACGAAATTAAAAATGTGTGAATAAAAAAAGTCAATAATTTGAACAGACCTTTGATTTGGCGAATTTAAAACAGGGCAAAATTTATTTCCAAGTGTGAAAAGGAAAAAAAAAAACAAAACAACTATATATCGTAAGTAAATAAATGTTTCCCTTTGGAATTTTTAGGTATTGCTATTGCTATCCGTTTTCGTCCGTGGTCGTGCGTTTTCAGCTTTTTCTCTGAAACCACTGAACCAATTTTGGCATAAATCATCTATGGGTGAAGGAAAACAACCAGAAGTCTCTGTCGAGACTGAAGCTCTACTGGTTTGTACTTGTACTTATAGCAAAGGAAGAGAAAAGTACTTAAGCAGTTGGAAATTGAAACTTTTCAACAGCAATAAATAGAATAATGATCCTTGATTAAGTCTCTTTATGTTCTTAGTGCAGTCTACTTGCATGCCACATTTATATTATAATCAGACTAAAATTGTATTTGGAGTAGAATTTTGAAAGAATTTCACAGAAATGTCTATTTTTAGTAACCACGGCAACACCGTTCATTGAAATCAAAAACCAATACACAGAATTATGTATCTTATTGTAGTCTACTTGTGTGCCAAGTTATATTGAAATCAGAATAAAACTGTAGAAGGAGTAGCATTTTGAAAGAATTTCACAGAAATTTCTATTTCTAGTAACCACGGCAACACCGTTCATCGAAATCAAAAACCGATATAGAGAATTATGTATCTTATTATAGTCTACTTGTGTGCCAAGTTATATTGAAATCAGACTAAAACTGTAGAAGGAGTAGCATTTTGAAAGAATTTCACAGAATTTCTATTTTTAGTAATTACGGCAACACCGTTCATCGAAATCAAAAACCGATACACAGAATTATGTATCTTAGTGTAGTCTACTTGTGTGCCAAGTTATATTGAAATCAGACCAAAACTGTAGGAGGAGTAGCATTTTGAAAAATTGTTTACAGACAGACAGACGGACAGACAGACAGACAGACGGACGGACGACGGACGCATTACTATCGCATAAGCTCTTCTGGTCTCTGACCAGTAGAGCTAAAAATGGGAATGGGGCAAAAACTAGTGTAATATTTAAAACTCTTGGACATCAAGCAGTCAAACTGTTGGTATGATTGAAATCAGCAATGAATCCCCTACCAAAATTATGAAATTCATGGCCCCAAGGTCAGGGTTTTAGTACTAGGGCGGGGCTAAATAGGTTATATAGTGAAAATGTATTATTTCTTTGAATTTCTTCTTTTCTGCTCTTGGGTATAAAATAAACTAACCAAGTGCATAGTTGAGTCGAAAATGACACCTCTTCCAGAATTTTGAATTTCATGGCCCCATGGTCAGGGGTTCTAGTCCTCAGGCGGGGCTATATAGATTATATAGTGAAAATACATAAATTCTTTGAAAGTCTTCTCCTCTTACCAGGCGCATAAAATAAACTAACCGAGTGCATAGGTATGTTGAATAAGGCTGCCTCTTCCAAAATTGCGAATCTCATGGCCCCAGGGTCAAGGGTTTTAGTGGCAGGGCTATATAGATTAATTATGTAGTGAAAATGCACCAATTCTTATGGAATTCTTTTTCTCTGCTCGTGGGCATTAAATAAACTAACCAAATGCAGAGTTATGTTCAATAAAGCTGTCTCTTCCAAAGCTGTGAATTTCATGGCCCAAGGTCAGGGATTCTAGTGCTAGGGTGGAGCTATAAAAATTATATAGGGAACATGCATAAATTCTTTGAAATTCTTCTCTGTTCGTGGACATAAACTATTCAAGTCCATAGTTATGTTGAATATGCTGCTTTTTTCCAAAATTGTGAATTTAATTGCCACAGGGTCAGGGGTTCTAGTGCTAGGGCGGGGCTACATAGATTACATTGTGCAAATAAATTATTCCTGTGAAAATCTTCTCTGCTCCTGAGTTTTAAATAAACTATAACCAAGTACATTGTCATGTTCAATAAGGCTACCTCTACCAAAATTGTCGATTTTATGGCCCCTGGGTTGGGGGTTCTGGTGTTAGTATATTGCTCAATTGATTATATAGTGAAAATGCATAAATTCTTTAAAAATCTTTTCTGCACCTGGGTATTAAACCAATGAACTACGTACATACATGTAGTAATGAGGAGAAAGGATGTCTCTTTGATGAGTTTTGTGAATTTCAGGGCCCCTGGGTCAGGGCTTCTTGTGTAACGGCGGGGCTCTAATGTTTATGTAGGAAAATCAATGAATTCTTTGAAGATATTTTCCTTTGCTCCTGCGTATTATGCCAATGATCTTATTACATATTAATGACAAAGAAAGCTGCTTCTTCCAGAATTGACAGAGGTACTTGGGGTATACATAGTCAGAAAATAATTTAATGCTTTGAAATCTGGTCTTTGGTATAAATCGACAACATGATGAGATAAAATCAATGTAATTTACAAAATCTTGAAAGATGTGGCCCAAGGGTCAGTGGTTCCTGTGGGATGGGGTGCACAACTGATGGAAATAGAGGAAATGTGCTTTCTCTTCGTTACTCTGATCTACTTCTGGGTACTAAGTAACCGAAGTAAGCATGCTACATGCATGTAAGTGTATAGTTATGATAAGCAATGGTGCCTCTTTCAAAATTGTGAATTTCATGGCCTCTGGTTTAGAACACAAATCAAATTCAATGGTTAGAGAGTTGTTACATGATACTCAGGTGGCCTATTGGCCGCTTGTAAAAAAAACAATTTGCTGTTAACCTTTACTTGAATCAAATCAATATATCAAATATAAGTGGAAATTTAGCGAGACGCAAATTTAGCGATTTCTCCTTAAGAAATGGTAATTTCTTTTTAGCGAGAGGTAATTTTTGCGATTTAAAAGTACTTACTAAAGGAACTATTGCAAATAAAATGCAATTCATTTTTCGCGATATTTAATTTTAGCGATCTTAGGACCCTCGCTAATACTGCCAAAATTAAATCCTCGCTGAAAATTCTACTTATACAGTACTTCAGACTTTATATACTAAAGCTTATAATACTCCAGGTTACTACTTGATTCATACAATCTAATTCAGACTTTATAAACTAAAGCTTATAATATTTTAGGTTAAAAAGTAATAACCTTTTTCAAATGTTCCATCGATGTTAGAAAATGTTGCTGTCAAATCGCGGGGCCCATGGAATACACAGCGGGTGATTGCTACTCTCTTCCCTTGATCAAGTGATCTATTGAAATATATGGGTTGTATTTTCACCTTTCCTAATGGCCGAATAGTTTCCATCGTCTGCTGTGAAGTATTTTTTTAAAACATTGCTATAACACCGTTTTTGTTAAATCTTTCTCATTTTAAACAAAGGAAAAAAAAGTATATAACTGTTTGCAAAAAAAAAAATCGTGAACATAAAACCTGCAGTAGTTACCCCATATAAAACTGTTGGCTATGTGCAGATACCCGATTGGCGTGGTCAAAATAACACGAGGGAGCGTAGCTCCCGTGTTGTCATTATGACCACGCCCATCGGGTATCTGCAAATAATCAACAGTATTATATTGGCTTAATGACTTGTACCATAATTTTCAAAAATTATTCATATGTAAGTCAACTTAGTAGTAAGTGGGACTTGCTCAAGTGATTGAAAAATTAAGTGTTTGGGTTTCAGTGATTCATTTGGATTTTATATGATTTTACGCTCCTTTGTGTCCTTCTGACAACTTCCATCGAGTGTAGTCTAAGTGATGTGTATAAAATACTTTTCAACAATTGATTGTATGTTGTTTAACGTTCTTCTCGAGAATTTTGAATCATTTGGAGACGCCATCACTTGCCGATGGAGAGCTGCAAATTTTGTCCTATAATCGGCACTCAAGGTTACCGAGCATAAAGGAATCTTTTTTCTGTCAACACCTTGTGCGACACGGGACCTCATTTTATACGGTCTCATCCGATGACCGGTCTCCACCTACCGCAATGGCTCCTTTCTTTGCAACTCAAGAGCAGGCGGTCTAACCACTGCGTCATGCGGGCGACATAGAAATTAAACATTTCTAAGTCCGTTTAAGAAGTTTGCCTGATTTATGTAATAGAAAATTTAATGAGTTTGGTTTTAATAAGATTTATTGATTTGACATGATTTTTTTCTCGTATACTTCAAGTGTCAAAATCAAATAATTTAAATCGTGAATGAACTTATTTTTGTTAACCGATAGATACTTTGTCCTGCACAGTGGTCCATGTACGTTGATTGAAATGTTTGTTAGGGATTATGTACAATTCAGTTTATGAAAATTAGATCTTTGATCGGCTAGATCCGGAATAGAAATCTTAATTATCTAAGTACAGTTTTGTACATCTTTATTCGTACGTTATGTATGTATCGTGTTTCCATTGCTGGTTAATTAAAGAACGTTATTGGAATCTACTAAGCTAACATCACCCGAGTCAAGACACTTTTTATTTTATTAAAAATGTTTTAAAAATCAAGCGATTTCTGAAGGCTTTTTTTTGTTCTTTTTTTTACGAAAGTCAAAGTATTCATGTCCGCATTTAAATGTTAATAAATAATACATAATGCGATCTAGAATAAGATTGATAATTTTTACTCTCTTGAATTTGGTATAACAAGCCTGGATGGTTGTTTCCTTCAAATATTGTGCATGATTTTTATAGCTCTTTTGTCCCGACTCTGTGGGCGGAGTTATTAAAAAGTGGGTTTTGTACAGAAAACCCCCACTTTTAACAAGAGAAATAACACCTAACTATGATGCAATTACAAAGAACCAAACTTGCATGAATGGTATTCTCACATCAAATCATTTAAAGAGGCCAATACATGTACAAATACAACCTGATAATTCAAATAGTTTTTTTTCGTCCCAACATTTCATATAGAAACAATTTTTTTCTTACGCCAGCTAAAAAGAAAAAAACGATTTATTTCAAAGGAGCTCGTACAGAACAAGGTAGTTTCAAAACAAAAATCTGGTCCTCAGATTTTCAAAAATATGGAAGTGGAGTAAAAAAATCAGAATTCATCCTTTTAGAATTATTGAAATTCCATGCTGTATAAAATATATCGATTATTTTTTCTCATACGGCCTGCTAAATGCTTGTTGTGACGTCATGAAAATGCACATTTTCCAGTATTTTTTTTATCAAAAGTTGCAGAATACATCAATCAAATTTTCAGTGGATTTTTCTTTCAGGTAATGTAAAAGGACATGTATCGATCACTTACAATGATTTTGAGGAATATGATTTTTCAAATTAAGATTTGTACGCAACACATATGAAAATCGAAGTGGGTAATGGCTCAAAGATAATGACCCCTGAAATGAGTCATTTTGGGCCTTTATCTGTTTAAGACATTTAATCTTAGAAATGTTTAAAACTAATAAATGCATAATTCTAGAATGGTCCTCCTTCATGTCATATTCTTTCATGATTTATTACCTGTACATTTATACTCAACTCATATTTCATCCAGTTATATATCTTTTTGAAAACATTAAATTTGAAGAGCACAATAAAGCCCACACCATACCTTCTTTTACGGGGAAGGGATTTTTATTGTACTACATTGAACTTTTCTGACCTTTAAGGATTTGAATATGCACTTAAATTTTTTTCGAGTTGTTTTTTGGAAAAATGGTCCTAAAATCAATAAATCAAAAATACATATTTTTGAGAACTCGCAAATATAACTTACACAATCAATTCTTCTAGTCTGCATCCAAAGAACTAACGCAATAGTAAGAAACTGCCACATTGGTATCACCATTGCTTATTTCTCAGCCAGTTCACATAAATGAAATGGAAACACCCCTCTGTTAACATTTAAAAATATTTTTATCTCGGTCATCCAAAATTATTCAAAAATTAGAGATAATCATTAAGAGCTATCAAAGTGTCAAACATCATTCCCCAGTCTGCTTGTCGCCTCAATCTTCTAGTTGATAAACTACCATAGCATCGATTAACTGGGTCAATTTAACTTGATTGTTATTTAGATACGTGGCTAAAATTACAAAAAATCATTGTGACAAATTCCCACAGAGGCTAGCCAATAAAAGTGAATAAGGGCAATATAGAATTTGTAGATAATATTTTGATAGACTTACATGATATATTCAGACCTGATTACATGTATATGTTAATATATCTTGTTTGTTCTAACTGACAAAGTACATTCTGTTTGTACATATCAAAGACATGAATTGGTGACGCGGTTTTATAGTTTTACAATGTATCACAAGTCTTGGTACCATCAAATAGGCAGTGGTACATTGTATTTACATTTACATCCGTTGTAGATGTCTTCTTTAATCAACCTGATGTATGGCCATGTATCACATTTACATGTTAAACGTATCCCATGAGCAAGAATCACTAGGATGCCACATCCTTTTTTAGGTCATCTGAGTAAACTCAGGTGACCTATTGCTATCTGATTTCGTCCGTCGGTGTGCGCCGTGTGTTAACATTTGAACATTTTTCAGTTTCTTATCTGAAACCACTTCACCAATTTCAACCAAATTTGGCACAAAGCATCTATGGGTGAAAGGAAACACAAATTGTGAATTTTATTATCCCTGCCCCCCCCCCCCCCCCCCCTTGGGGTCTGAGGTGTGGGGCAAATACCACTAAAATTAGTGCAATCTTTAAAAATCTTCTTCTTTACTCCTGGACATTAAGCAGTCAAATTGTTTGCATGATAGTAATCAGCATTGAGTCCTCTACAATAATTGTGAATTTCATGTCCCCAGAGTCCGGGTTTCTGGTGTTAGGGCGGGGCTCTATAGATTATATAGTGAAAATGCATAAATTCTTTGAAAATCTTCTCTGCACCTGGGCATTAAATAAAGAAAATAAGTATATAGTTATGTTGAATAAGGCTATCTCTACCAAAATTGTGAATTTAATGGTCCTGGGGTCAGGGGTTCTGAGGTGCTTGGGTGGGGCTGTATTGATTATATAGTAAAATTGCATACCCAGCAGGCATTTCAACGTTGTTTCAATGTTGAAACAACGTTATACCCCAACGTTGAAATGACGTTGAATTTTAGTTGAATTTGAAAGTTGAATGGACGTTGAATTATGACGTTGTTTCAACGTTGAATTATAACGTTGCTTCAACGTTAATTTAACGTCTCCTGACATTTATTTCAATGTTTAAATGTAGTTGAATTCTGGTTGAAAATTTTTTATTGGCCTTCTTCTCAATATTGGCATTGATTATTGTTTTAACCACATTTTAACTTTTTTCATTGCTTTTTCAATACTAGCAAGCATAATTTAATGATAACATGACAACATGATTACTTTTCAAAATTTGGTTTATTTTTCTTTACAAGAGGCCCATGGGCCACATCGCTCACCTGACACTGTGGCTAGGAAAAAAAGCAGAAGTCAGTTTATTATTGAAAAGTTTAAACCCAAAAGTGGTCCAAACCAATCCTTAAAGGGGAGAGGGTATAATGTGAACAAAGGGGGGAGGGGGTTATTGCCCTTTACAACTGAACTTACTTTGCGGTCCCACCCTACCTTTAGGGGTCATGACTTGAACAAACATGAATCGACACTACCTGAGAATGATTTCATCTAAATAAGACTAATCATGGCTTTGCTATTCTTCAGAAGAGGATTTTTTAAAAAGAGGTTTCCTATTTACTTCTATCTAAAACTTTCATCAGCCATTGTGGCTTGCCCTACCCCAAGAATTCATGATTTGAACAAACCTGAATCTACACTACCTGATGATGCTTCCATATAATTATATTTGATCATTCATGCCTTTGATATTCTAGAGAAGAAAATTTTTAAAGAATTTTCTTATTTATTTCCATGTAAACCGGTGATCGGCCATTGTGGCCCCGCTCTACCCCGACTATTATGATTTGATCAAACTTGAAACTACACTACTTGAGGATGATTCCCTGTAAGTTTTATCTTTCCTGGCACATTGGTTCTTGAGAAGAAGATTTTTAAAACATGCCACCAAATTTATACTTTTTCTGAATTATCTCCCCTTGAATAAGGGCGTGGCCCTTCATTTGAACAAACTTAAATCTCTTTCACCCAAGGATGCCTTGTGGCAAATTTGCTTGAAATTGACCCACTGGTCCTAGAGAAGAAATCGATAATGTGAAATGTTTACAGACTGACACTTAGACAGATGGACGTCGGACAAAATGTGATCAGAAAAGCTCACTTTTCAGCTAAGTAGAGCTAACAATTATTAAATCCTTCTATTTCCTCCCTCCCCCTCCTAATCGCTCTGAAGGATAGTTCAGGAATTTTCCCAGGTCCTCATTAAATTTTGACTCAGTATACTCCTTAAGGGAGAACAACACGGCATCTGGAATACATAAGATTTATTACCGGTAACCTTTAAAAAAATGAAATCATTTTAGCTCACCTGAGCCGAAGGCTCATGATCAAAATTTGTTCGTTGTCTGTCGTCGTCGTTGTTGTCGTCGTGTCGTAAACTTTTACCAGAAAGTATCCTTAGATGAAGGGGATTCAAATTTGTTTAACTTTGATTTTTAAAGATTTTTCCTATATATTCCTATGTAAAACTTTGGTCGGCCATTTTGGCCCCACCCTACCCCCGGGGGTCATGATTCGAACAAACTTGAAACTACACTACCTGCGGATGATACCACATGAATTTCAACTTTCCTGGCCCAGTGGTTCTTGAGAAGATTTTTAAAGATTTTTCCTATATATTCCTATTTAAAACTTTGGTCGGCCATTTTGGCCCCACCCTACCCCCCGGGGTCATGCTTTGAACAAACTAAAATCTACACTACCTGAGGATGGTACCACATGAGTTTCAACTTTCCTGGCCCAGTGGTTCTTGAGAAGATTTTTAAAGATTCTTCCTATATACTCCTATGTAAAACTTTGGTCGGCCATTTTGTCCCCAACCTAGCCCCGGGGGTCATGATTTGAACAAACTTGAATCTACACTACCTGAGGATGATACCACATGAGTTTCAACTTTCCTGGCCCAGTGGTCCTTGAGAAAAAGATTTTTAAAACATACCATCAAATTTTCACTATTTCTGTATTATCTCCTCTTGAATAAGGGCGTGGCCCTTCATGTCTCTGCTGTTAACAATTAAGAAGGAGTAACAATAACAAGCATTCTTTTGCAAAAGGAGTAATAACTCCTTAAGGGATCATAGGCCATTTATGCTGGGTCAACTGCAAAATCTTAAACGGAGTACATTCTTATGAACTAAACAACTGAAAATGAAATAAGAAATTACTGAAATGATGAAAAATTGAAAAAAAACAAATGGAAATGACCTTGACCTTTGACTTTTATGAAATATTTAAGGTCAAAGGTCACATTTTAATTTGCCCCATGCCTCTAGGACTTATACTTTTAAAGTTAAAAGGTAAATAGTAAGTGCAAAGACATAAAAAGGTGATAACTCATATAAGGAGTCTGGGATCCTTTCGCACTGATGAATTGCAGTTGAAATAGTTATAAGAGTACATATTAATGATGCCAAGACAGAAAGTATATATTGAAAGACAAAAGAGATATAAAAATAGCTTAATTTATCATGTTTTGAATGACTTTGACCTTTGCATACATTTCAAGTCAAAGGTCAATAAATCTTATGCAGTTGGTTTCATGTCTCTACGACTTCTTCTTTTGAAAATTTTTAAATATTTGTAAAATTCAAAAACTTCCAGGGGCAATAACTCATTAAAAGGGTCAACGAATACTTTTGCAATGAATCACTGAAGCATCTACTAAATTAGATGAAGACAAAAGTGAAGGTTTCATTTCTCTACAGTTTACAGTTAAAGAGGAGTAGCGATAATAAGCTTTTTTGCAAAAGGGGTAATAACTCCGTAAGTGGTCAAAGTTCATATACGCAGGGTCAACTGCGAAAATCTTTTACGGAGTACATTTTTATGAGCTTAAAATCTTTTCGATAAATGCATTTTCCATACAGAAAATAGATAGTATATGTTCAAGGATATAAGAGCTATTAAAAGAAATTTATTCCTCATAATTGGAATGACCTTGACCTTTGACCTTGAAATGAATTTAAAGATCAAAGGTCAAGGTATTTATGCAGTTGATTTCATGTCTCTACGACTTTTCGTTTTGAAAATTTTTAATTTTTTGTAAAATTTATAAACTTTTAGGGACAGTAACTCATGGAAGGGCCCAAAGAAAACTTTCGCTATGAATAGATTGAAAAGTTTCCTAAATAAGTTGAAGACATTGGTGAAGGTTCTGTATCTCTACGGTTTACGGTTTCGGAGGAGTAGCGATAACAATCTTTACAGTGAAAGGGGTGGAAAGACCTAATAAAAAAAACAGAAGAAAATCAATAGGTCTTTCCATAGAAAGGTGGAAAGACCTAATGAGTAGAATGGAAAAAGACTGAGGAAGGAACTGAGACAATGGGTGAGATCCCTTGTGAGAGGGAAAGTTTGAATGGATCTCAAAATGAATTTGAAAGTGAGGATGAAGAAACTGTTTTACAAGGCTTCACAATATTGAAATGGAAATTGAAAGAGAATTTGAGTGAAATAAAAAGAAACATTCTCTTTCTTCTTTTAATTTATTATGGATATTTTCATTTTTAATTTTGAGTATCGGTGTGCCCCTGAAGATAATTGTGGGCTATACATTGTTACATATCTAAAAATGTATAAAGTAGGTGGCCCACATGGCCCTAGAGTTTTAAAAGTTATTTGCAACCTTGAAAGTTAGTTTTTTAAATATTTAAGGATAGGTACACGAAATACATGTAACTTAAAATGCGCTTTGCATGTCAACATCAACCGTGACTTTGGGTGTTTGTTTATA